TTCAGGAAAAGTTTCTTTCGTTATATTTCCGTTTACAGTAGAGTGGCGCGTAATTTTGTTACGTCATTGCTTTTAGTTTAGAAACTTCAATCTTTAATTTATGTCCATACATGAGGCGCGGTAAGGGCGAACCTGGTGCAGCGGCAAGTCGCGCTGCTTACCACGTGTACGGTTTGGTCAAATAGTGGATCGTACGCCGCCTGAGCCACCAAGCGATCAAAAAAGGATTGATTGACACCGAATGCTCCTACCTTTCATGTGAGCCACGGGTAACTACTATACTTCTCATCTACTCTACTCATCTACTCAATAATAACTGGTAATTGGAAATAAGCTCAAGTGACGATTGATAACGTCCAGGCTAAAGATTAAAAGTCATTTACGTGTGAATTTTATGCAAACTGCTGTTCTCATGAGCTTGCGTCAAATCGTTAGTCATTTCATTTGGACCCTTTCTCTGATGCCCTAGCCATTCACTTTTTCTTTCCTGATATCCAATTGACCGTGAATCTTTCGTAATTATTCTGATTAGAAAAGGACGCCCGCCGGCCAAAGTGGCCATCTGTAATAAGGAACCATAGCTCTATGTGTTTTTGTACGCTGATCTCAATCGAAGAAAAACCTGCGGAATGAACGAAAGATTTTCTGAACGTAGATACGAAAAGGGGTAGCGCTAGTGGCCAGGGTGAATAGCGGTCGAGGGATTCCTCAACCATGGCTCTCTACTGTGCAAGAGTGGAGTGAGAGTGAAAGTACGCGCGGAGAGCACAGACGACTCGCGGGTGCGAGAGAGCGAGAATCCTCGACGCACCATTGCCAGTTCATCTGCCGATTTTCACCCTGCTAGTAGCAATGGCTCACAGAGGTAGTGGGTCAATTCCTTTACGGGTTTGTTGCCTTTTTTCTAACAGCTTAGCTAGAAGAGCTCCATCCGCGTTAGATCATCCACTTTTGCCTATATGAGTCACCTCCGTAGGAACTACAAGCAAATCTGAGCTTTGTTTGCTTCTGATTGCCCATGATGCGCGGAGTGCAAAAGCCTGGTACTCTCGCGACGA